AAATAACAGATCAGTTTAAGATGTACTCAGTGTTAATAAAATTAACCAAAAAGTGCCATAAAACCAGATCTTTTAGGAATTCAGCTTTCCCTCTTTCTCCTGGTGTTTGAAATGTTAATGACAAGTGTTTGTCCCTTTTTCCCCCTCCTCAGTGATTGACGTGTTGAGTCTTCAGGATTCGAAGCAGAGTATTTCAGCCGTGGAGAAGCTGGCGGGTGGTCTGAGCGCGCTCAGTGATGTCTACGTGGTGTCAACGTTTCGGCTGCCGGCGAAGCTGGGTGGAGTCCTGCTGGGTTTCTACAGCAAACAGGACAACAGGAAGTACCTGGAGGTCGCCGTCATGGGGAAGATCAATAAAGGTTGGTGGAAATGTAGCCGCGGAGTCTGACCGCACTAAGCGAGACTCTATTCAGATCCTCTTCACTTTCAAATCTCAAAGTTTCCACAGATCCTAAATCTATCAGGATGAATTAAGGGGAACATGTGTGACATGAGGCAGCAGACCTGTAGAACATTTCCACAGAAACATGGAGTCTGTGGTTTGAATATTTCACTCAGTGGAAACGGCACAAAGCCTCAGAGGAGGTTCCAGGTAATTAGGATGAAATGTAAGGTTCTGAAATCCTGGCTCTGAAGTCAAGGGGCAGGAAATGTGGTAGGAAATAATGTACCTTCAGTTTAACAGTGAAGGTTCTGTCATATCTGACAGAACAAAGCTTTTTAAATAACCTTTAAATGTAAGGGAACCTGAAGATATTAACAAAGCATGCCATACGTCACTAGGAAATGTATCAAGGTCTTTTAGAAAGTTCTGGTGGTTCTTTACAAAGTGCAGTGGTGACTGAAAAAGTTCTGTGGTCCTGTAAGGTTCTCAAGTGGTCAGTGAGGGGTTCTTGTGGTTGTTAAAAAGGTTTAAATAGTTGCTGAAGAGGTTTGAGTGGTTTACTAAGTAAGTTTTTTAAGTTGTTGAAGAGGTTCTAATGTTCATTGGGTGGTACTGTCCTAGACACTGTGGGTCATTAAAAGGTTCTAGTGATTATTAGGATGTTTTAGAGGCATTCAAGAGATTATAGTGGTCACTGAAGAGGTTCTTGTGGTTTTAGGGGAGGTTTTATAATTTGCTGAAGAGGTTTTCGTGGCCATTCAAAAGTTTTGTGGGCCATTATAAGGTTCTAGTGGTTATTAAGAAGGTCTATCAGCTAATTGAAGAGGTTCTAGTTGCTATTGGGTTTACTAGGGGCAGTTTAAGAGAACCAGTGAGGAAGACCTATCAGTCATTATTCTATTCTATGGGTTGTTAGGAGATTCTAGAGCATCACTGAAGGGGTTATGTGGGTCACTGTAGAGGTTCTACTGTTCACTGAAGAGATTTTACGAGTTGTTGAAGAGGTTCTAGTGGCTATTAAAAAGGTTCTATGAGAATAGGGACGCCGCTATAGCTCACCTGGTTGAGCTGACGTCCCGTGTTTAGGGGCTATAGTTCCCAACGCCGAGGTCATGAATTCGAATCCCGCTCATGGCCCTTTTCCACAGGTCCTACCCCCATTCTTCTCTCAAACTTTCCTGTCTCTCTCTCAAACTGCACTATCAAATAAAGGCAAAAATGCCAAAAAAGAATAACTTAAAAAAAAGGTTCTGTGAGTCATTGAAAGGTTCTAATGGGTATTAAGAAGGCTTTAAGGGTCATTTAAGAGGTTGTAGTAGTCACCAGGGAGGTTTTATGAGTTGTCAAGAAAGTTTTAGTGGTCATTGAAGAGGTTCCACGGTTTGTTCAAGACATTCTTGTGGTCATTAGGTTAGGTTTTAGTGGTCACTGAAAAGATTCTGGGTGTCAGTGAATGGACTTCAGGAGTTCTGTGGGTAACTGAAGGGTTCGAGTGGTCACCAAAGAGATTCTAGTTGTTACAGGGGTTTCTTGAGGCAATTTGAAAGGTTCCAGGTGTCAGTCAGGATATTCTGTCAATGATTAAACACGGCAGTTCTACAGTGAGCTTCTAGGAATCATCTAGAAGGTCTTATGGGCCACTGAGGAGGTTCTAGTGGTAGCCTGGAATGTTCTTGGGGATATTGAAGATCTTATGGTTAACTGATGAGGTTTTATGGGGGATTGATAGGGTTTTTATGAGTCACGAAAGAGAGTCTAGTGGTCATCAAAGATGTTCCAGTTGTTACTGTTTTAGAGGTTCTCGAAGACCTTCTGTGGTTCACTGAAGAGTTTTTATGGGTTGTTGAAGAGGTTCTAATGGTCCCTGAAGGGTTCTGTGTTTGTTTCTTCTGAATGATGTTTCTGTGGAAATGTGCTATGGGTCTGCCTCATCATTTTGCATACATTTCCTCAGAATCTACCCTGACAGACCACGGATGTGTGCAAAATCTGAGATCTCCACGAGAACTTCATAAAACTTGGTGGTCGACTACAGAAAGACTGTTACAATTAAGGCAGATCTACCAAGCACTCCGATTATGCTTAATGAGGCTGTGTGAGATGGACTCATTTGTGCATCTTGTTCTCAGAATACCCTGAAGTTTTACGTTCTTGGATCTGAGGGTTCTGTCTGGTCTGATAAGCCGGTGTGTGCTGGGCCTCAGAGCCCTGCCCAGGAATCCGGTTCTGGCTGTGTTGTCGTTTTAATACATTCTTTATCCTGATAATGACAGAGTGTGAGTTCAGTCTGCAGCTGCTCTGACAGCATGATCACTATAATCTGAGCTGACGTTTCATAAACTGCTCTGTGTTGATGTTTGGGCTCAGCGCCACCTTTGACCTCCAGATAGGAGACTGAGCTCAGCATGAAACCTTCATCTCTCCTCCTCCTGCTTCTGCCTAAAGTGTTGTTTGTATTCCATATTTTTATATTAGATTTATTTCAAGGTGAACACTCAGTTTGTTGACATCTGTGTTATTCAGACAGAGCAGCTCACATCAGTGTCTCATTTAAGTGAAATCTCATAATGCTTGTCACCAATTTCAGAACTGGGAAGCAGCAAAATCCTTCATCAGAGTCTTGGAGAACAGTCATTCACTAAATCTAACAGTGCAATCACATTCTTATTACTGCAGACCTGCAATTACTGATTGTTTTTATTATCAATTAAGTGTTTTATCTACAAAATGTTAAAAAAAAAACAAACAAAAAAAAAAAGTGTAAAAATGCCTAAAAGCTTTAACTTGTTGATGAGATGGTCAGTGGTCATTCAAGAAGTTTTAGGGGCATTTCATTGGTTGGGATTTCTTTTGAGCAATATCTGCCACAAGAATCTCCCTGATGATTAATACATTTCTGTCTTATTTCTACACATCATTGAGGAGGTTCCAATAGGTAGTAAGATATTATTTAAAGGTTCATTGAAGAGGTTCAATTGATTGACAACTATGGGAGATGTATTCCTGGCCATTAAGGTGGTTCCAGTTGCCACTGAAGATGTTCTAGTGGACATTAAGGGGGTTCTACGGATCACTAATGATGGTCTGTGGATTGACATCAATGGAAGACATTCTGGTGATCATTAAGGAGGTTCTCGTTGCCACTGAAGATGTTCTAGTGGACATTAAGGGGGTTCTGTGGGTTATTGAAGAAGTTCTATTGACTGACACCTATAAACAGCATTCTAGTTGCTGCTGGAGATGTTCTCTTGCACAATAAGAAGATGTTCTCATGTACAATCAGGAGGCTCCAGGGACGGGGTCATTTTACACATTCTATAAGTTACAGAGGAAATCCAGTGGTCAATGAGGATGTTCTCTTGGTCATGGAAGAGGCTTTATAGATTGTTAAAGACATTGTAGTGGTGATTAAAGAGGTTCCCATTGACATTGAAGATGTTCTAGTGGACATTAAGATGGCTTTATCGGTCACTGAAGAGGTTCTATTGACTGACATCTATGGAGGACACTCCTGTGGTCATTAGGAGGTTCTCGTTGCCACTAAAGATGTTCTGGTGCACAATTGTGCAATTAGAAACTCCCTAATGACCACTAGTATGTCGTCCATGTCTTCAATAAGGATGTTCTATAGGTCATGGAAGATGTTCTATGGATCTCTAAAGACATTCTAATGGTCATTAAGGAGGAAGAGAAGGAGCATTGCTAATGAAGCGGTTCTAGTAGTTATTACAGGTTCTAGAGGTAACAGGGGAGGATCCACTGGTTGGTGAGGATGTTCTGTGGATTGTGAAAGAGATTCTAATAGTCATTAAGTACGCTCTGTGGGTCACTGTGGTAGTACAAATCTCTTCATTGAAGAGGTTTTAGGGGTTGTCAAAGAGGTTGTAGTGGTCATTTGGGAGCTTCTAAGGTTTAAAAGCTTTATATAGTTCGCTGAGGAGGATCTGTGGGTTGCTGAAGAGGTTCTAGTGGTCATTAAAAATGATCTAGTGGTCACAGGGGATGTTCTTGGGGTAATCACAGACCTTTTACAGTTCACTGTAGTGTTTTTACAGGTCGCTGAAGAAGAAATAAAAACAGAACAGAGAAACGGCCGAATCCTGCACATTCTCTGAGAACATTCAGTTACTGAATCTAACTGTACAACTACTTTTTTCATTACAGCAGAAGTGCAACTAATGTTTTTTTTTTTTTCAAATTACTGATTAACTGTTATTTCTATAGTGTAAAAATTTTAAAAAAGTGAAAAAGTCAATTGAACTTTCCCACAGACAAATGTTTTACCTTTATATGTCTTGTTTTGAACAACAGTCCAGAATGAAAAAAATATTCAACTAACTGTCCTGTTTGACAAAGTAAAACAACAAATTCTCACATTTTAGAAGCAGGAAGAATCAAATATTTAACTTTTTTGCTTGTTTATTGCAACAAATATTGCCAAAAATCAAATATGTAGTAACAGTGGTCACACCAAACCTTCACTGGTCCATGAACATATTGGTGACATACAGCTCCATCAGAAAAATTAACCAAATCTAAGCTTAAAATTGGGACATTTATTCAAAATCACTTTATTCTAAATCTCCTGCTGGAGTTGGTGTGCAGAGTTGTGTAAAAAAGTTATTGTAAGACACTATAAACATGTAAATAGTTAAAAATCTGTAAGATTTGGACCTCCGTGGGTTTTTTTTCTCCAGTATTGTTAGCACCTGTGGACACTTGAAAAAAATGTTGGACATGTTGAGTCCAGGTCATTTTAATTTTTGCAAAGTATGTAACCAAACAAGTTCAACTTTTCTTCTTTGTTTAATGATTCATGGTGGTGGATGTGCTGTTTCCACAGAGGTGCAGGGATCATATTTCAGTAAAAAAAAAGATGAACACACAATGAGGGAAAATGTGACAGGAGCAAAAAGTTCTCAGAAACTACTTGAGATTCAGAGAGTTCAAAAATAACCTACTGATTTATCAGTGAATAGCCATTGGTTTGTCTCTTTTGAATGATTTTGGCAGTTATCATCTCTTCCAAGTCCCCTGGTTCCAAACTAGGGGTCGAACAATAATCTGGTCTGATATTCAACATCTGACAGAACCATATAAACGTGTTTCCTTTTTGAAAATGTAAATCTTAAACCACCCCACTCATGTATTGTTTACTTTTTTTAAATCACTTTTTCCCCCTTGAACAACTGCTAAGTGTAGTTTTTTTAAACAAGGAAATGGTGCCGGGGATTATTTTCAGTTGTGGAGGAATCAACATTTGGTGCTATTGGTTCTTTCTATTTCAATTTTTAAAAATGTGTTGCATAAAATATAGATATTTACACAGATGGATACATTTTACCTTGGTATAATCAAATATCTTTTTTTATTATTATTATTATTGTCTGTCAACCCACTTTCAGCACGTTTTTTTTTTTTTTTTTGCACATTAAAACTTAAGGCCATATCTCAGGATGAATATTCCCAGTGACTCTTGTGACCCAGTATTTTATGTTAGAAAGCATTCTACTTGTTTGTTTTGTATTATTGTGACATGCAGCTACATGTGGTTCAGAAATATCACTATTTAAGCTTCAATTTAGTTTTTTAGTATTTCAGAGATTCTTTGATCTATTTGTCTAATATTGCAGATTCTAATTGACTGACATGACGAGAAATAACAGGGAAATTTTCAGGCTATTGTAGAGACACTTTGTGGTTCAAACCGCCCCAAATTTCAATGTACAAAAAAAAAGTGCTGAAAGTAGATAGACGGGCAACTTTTAAAACAATGCACCTTGCAAAATGTTTGATATATCAATCTAATATGTCACAGCTACCATTTCAAATATCCATAATTTATGATAAACATCTGTCATCTTAGTAAGACTGGTGTTTGTATTGTTTTTTTTTTTTTACACTCCTGATGTTTTGTTTTTTTTCCTTTCATGATGTGGGTCTTTATTGGTCAGCGTTTGTTCTTCGTGCTGCCAACAGTCCACTCCTTCAGGCTGTTTATCCTCTTAAATGTTTTCCATGAGGTTTGTTCCATTTTCTCATCCGGAGTGCAGATGAAACTGTCGCCTGCTCACGGCCTCACTCTGATCGGGCGCAAACGTCCTACTCATGTTCTTGATCATTCCTCAAATGCGTTTTTGTGACTGGTGGTCCCCATACCAACATTTATTCAAGACAAGTGAAGCAAGGCAGATTAAAGTCATGTTGCTGTAGCCATTTTCCAGGGTGTTATTACCAACTACAAACTCAAAAATATATTTGTGTCTTATAAAATCAAAATAAAACAACTTTATACTTAGTTGTACAAGTTATGAATCAAGTCAAGTAAGGATTAAAGAACGAGGAGCCGTGCATTATACGGTTTGAATGAACAAGGCTCATTGAGATTAAAAATCTCTTTTTCAAGAGTGTCCTGGTCAAGATAGGCAGCAGCACAACTGACAGACAGACAAGATCACAACAACATCTACACCAACATCATACTCATAATACATGGTGAAATTAAATTTAGAAGATAAGAAATCAACGTATCAGCAGAGATCAGAAATGTAACTAGCAAAAATAATCATCTGTCAAAAAATCTACAGACTGATGTTTCTGCCTCCAAGTCATTTAAGAACCCTTTAAAAGTGTTTAAAGATAGAAAATAAAATTTACAATGAGAGGATGCACAGAAAGGTTTTATCGGAAATGGCAATGCTTTCTATCTCTTTTTTCTAATTTAAAAATGCTGCCTAACTAACTATGTCAGTTTTTGTTTTTTTTTTTGTGAGTTTTTGTTATCTTATTATACATCGTTTGCGGTACTTCACTGCTGTTTTGTTGTGAGCTGGGGTGGAGGGAGGGGTTGTTCTGGGGGGGAGGGTTTGCTCTAGGGTGGGAGGGGGGGAAAAAGATTTAAAAAAAGAAAAATGAACACACTGGAATCTGAACGAATGTATCAAGTGTTGCACTTTCAGACCCTATGCACATATTTGTATTTGTGCTCAACGATTGTATTGTCTTATTAGTATTATTGTTACTGGGTTTTTTTTTTTTTAATACTGTTACTATTGTTATGGTTATTATCTTGTTTTTCTATAAGCAATATACTTGTAATTTTTCTGTAATGTCTGAAACTGGTTCTAATAAAAACACTTTGAAAAAAAAAAAAAAGTGTTTAAAGAGACCAGCTCTTGAAGTTTCAGGTCTTTTGGCAAAGTGTTCCAGGTAGGGGGAGCAGCAAATTTAAATGCTTTTTTTCTCCGTTCTATGTTGTAGCAGCAGGATCGATGCAGCTGAGGAAACTTTAGGGTGCTGGACAACTTTGCCATATTAATGCTCTGGTTCTGCTTCAGAATGATCTGAATGCTCAGATTAAACTTCTTGTGCAGAGCAGTTTGTCATCAAAACCCTTCAGTGCGTGCCCCCCCTCAACCCGTCAACCCATCAACCAAAATACTCACCCGCCACCACCGCGCAGCACCCCCGAATATTCGGGATTTTCCTCATTAATTGGGACCGAATGTCCGGAGATCAGAAATTGCTATTCGGACCAGCCCTACTTCATTCAGAGTTTGTTGATTTTGTGTGGAATTACCTTTTATGCATCTAAGAGTTAAGAGAGAGTTTTGATCTTTGACACATCAGAAAATATAGTTTCATGTTATGATGACATTGAACTACCTTGTTTTCTTTGTCTTCTTCTTCTTCCTCTTCTCCTTCATCAGTTCTGGTTCGTTATGTCCGTGCTGATGGGAAGCTCCACACCGTGAACCTGCAGAATGCCAACCTTGCCGATGGGCGGACTCACTCTATCATCCTGAGGCTCGGCGGCCTTCAACGCGAACACATGCAGATGGAGCTCTATGTCGACTGCCGATTGGCCGACTCCAGCCAGGGCCTGCCGCCATTGGTTCCTCTGCCCAGAGAGGCAGAGATGGTGGAGATCAGACATGGACAGAAGGCATATGCCAGGCTCCAGGTTAGAGAGATAAATGAATAAAAAAATTATTGCAAAGTCTTTCATTAAGGAAAAATGCAAAATATATGATATGTTTAGCAAGAATATGAGTCAACAGCATGGTATGAAACTGTTTGTGAGGACTGAGTGATGAGGAAAAGGTATCACAGCCTTTTTATGCTGAATATAAGTTGTTACCATCATAGTGGAGGTACTTTGCCTGAAGAAAGATCCTTCATACCCTCCAGTATAGTTCTGTTAACCCTTAGAACCCAACGGATGCACTTTGCATTCAAATTCAAATCCTTTTTTTCATTTGAATTGCTATTTATTGCAGCATTGTGTAGCATATATCAAATGAAACCGCATGAGTTGACATTGAAACAATACCAGGTGCTTGTCCGTGTGATGGAGCGTCATGGGAAAAATACGTTTGAGGTTGCATCATATACAAGTTGTTTCTCTATGTGCCAAATAGTAATCCAGTTTGCTACATCTGCAAGTGGGATATGTGAACACTTATTAATTAGAATAATGACAGTTGTTTCCGTTAAACACATATTTTTCCATTTTCAAAGTAATGTGGTATCTCACCATTATGATTTTGATATTGCCAGATTCCAAACAAATTAAAAATATATCTCTACTGCACGCATTTTATGGTGAGATACCTGTAAAAACACAACAACTTCTTAATACAAACTATTTATTTTCTGTCTTGATATAAAAGTTAATATGAAGTATGGCTAGTTCTTATAATGTGTCTCTTGAACCTTTGTTGTCTTGATTGTGGGTGATGTTGTTGTGGAGCAGCTTTATGTTTAAAGTCTGTCTGTAGTTGTAATGTCTATTCAGTTGTGAGTGAATTCATCTGACAGTTGCCATAGGCGCAAAGAGAATTTCTGAAAGGATAGTAAAGAAAGATAACTATTTGGAGATGTTGCTTTGGTAGAACAGAGAAGAGATGAAAGTACAAGGACGTGGCTCTGGACGGGATTTAAATTACAGGAGGAACGGCAGCCAGTTTCTAATAAACAGGAGGTAATTTCAGCTGTAATTATGTCTGAGGAGGGGCTGAAAAAAGACTCCCATACACTCTGGAGTGGATTAAAATCACTGACCAGGGCAGGTAATATTAAAATGACTCCACCTCTCCTGGAGACATAAATCCCATCTGAATGGGCCTTTATATTCGAGCCATAAACAGATTAAAGAAAATAATACATACAAAGGTGGTGTGCAGTGAAGCAGTAGTTACTGGAGGCAAACTCAATTGTAAAGTCTTAGGTCATAACTTAGTTAAATGTCAGTGATGTGTTCATAAATGACTTACTTATATATTTGCTCATTTTCCAAGTAACAATGTGTTGTGTTTTTGGGTTACAGATTGCACTGATGCCACATGTGTTTGTGTTACATGGGGGATCACTGCAATCTGTCTTATTAAGCTCTGCTGACAATGTGTAAACGTAGACTTGGAGTTTCTGATATGGTCACAAGAACTCCATAGTTTGCATTAGTTGAACAATTTGACACAAGCTGATGAAAAAGGAGTTTTGTGTTCACTGTCATACCATATTAATTAAGCTGTCACCTTTTTTCTCTTTGAGAGAGCTGCTGAACGGATTCTGAATTTCTCTCTTTTGCATTAGATAAGAAGTAATTTAACTAATTTTCAAGGTCATAAGAGTCATTGTGGTATTTGCACAACATTTTCTCGGGTCTCATCCAGAATCACAAACCTGGAAGTGACCTTCGCTAGGCCAAGTTGTTATTACTACTGTAGGAACCTTTTTGGTTTGTTTGTTTGTTTGTTTTGTTTCATTTGGAAGCCTAAGGTTGTTCTCTTTAGGGGAAAATGGAATGATAAATGATTCTCATTACTGTTAAACCCACTGAACTACAAGCAGTTTCTGATTTGTCTTTTTTTTTGTTTTGTTTTTTTTGTGTCGCATTATTCCTTACCGTGGGCTCATTTTTACCTGAAATATGAATTCCTGAACCTCTATGGACATAGTAGAACTTTATATACAAGTAGAGAGAACTTCTGTGCAGTGTGACACAATCAGAATGCTATAAATCTTAAGAAAGAGAAAACAAAAGTTAAATGTCTCTGATTATTCGTCTTTACAAAACATGAAAAAAAATTGGAATTAACATGTGCAACATTTTCCCAAAATCCCACAGGTGTTACCAATACAGGAAAACATGTTGGCTCTATGTACTCTGGATATTCTAGTGCTTACATTTTCAGTTTGTCTCCATCCTCCTGTCCCATCTGCTATGCGTAAACACAGCCTGCAGTTCACATTTTGTTACCAAGACATGTATAATCCTGTATATCATTATTTTAAACTTAAAGGTGGTTGTTCTTTCCAAGGAAACCGAAAGTCACACGTGACTAGTTGAAGAACTGTCGGACCATTTTTGCAGTTTCTTACTATGATAAGTGGTGGAATTTTGACAAGGGGTGTTTTTGTGTTTCACACTTTCTCTCCGGGTCTGTTTCAGGGGGCAGTGGAGTCCCTCAGAATGGCTCTAGGGGGCAGCGTTGCTAAAGCTGGAGCTCTGACTGACTGTCCATTCCAAGGAGATTCGTCAGCCTACAACTCAGGTAAGCTTACCTTGATCTCGTGTCTGCATTCACACCTTAAAGCTGCTCTCTTTTAACTTTTCATGCTCGTCCTGACCAACGACAACTTTTGTTTTTTAGTGAGTGGGGAGGTCAACTCCATCCTGGGTGAGATTTGTTTTGTTCATCGAAACTGTCAGTATTCACCTGTATCAACTTTTCAACTCTGATTACTGACGGTATGCCATGTTTCTCTGATAATTTCCTGACAGGTGATCACACCAAGGCTTTGATTGGTCAGCTCATCATCTTCAACCAGATCCTGGGAGAGCTCCGACAGGACATCAGAGAACAGGTGAGACAGACTGTTGGAGGACAGGTTTGGATGAATGTCAGAGAATAGGTAAAGGTGAATGTTGTAGGTGAGGCTGAGTAACAGAGGACAGGTGAGGCAGGCCATTAGGGGACAGTTTAGACAGAGAAAAGTGGGACAGGACAAGTGAGATGGGACATTAGAAAGCAAGTGAGACTGGAACGGTGAGACGGGACATTAGAAAGCAGGTGAGAAAAGAGAGGTGAGACGGGACATTAGAAAGCAGGTGAGACAGGACAGATGAGCTGGGACATTAGAAAGCAGGTGAGACAGGACAGGTGAGCTGGGACGTTAGAAAGCAGGTGAGAAAAGATAGGTGAGACGGGACATTAGAAAGAAGGTGAGACGGGACAGTTGAGACGGGACCTTAGAGAACAGGTGAAACAGGACAGGTTAGACTTAATGTCAAGGTACAGGTGAGACGCAGTGTCAGAGGACAGGTGAGGCAGGACACAAGAGAACCAATGAGGCAGGGCCGGTGAAACAGTAAAGTCCCTGAGGAGTTAACTGCCGTGTGCTGTCCTCAGGTAAAGGAGATGGCTCTGATCAGGAACACTATACTGGAGTGTCAGGTTTGTGGTGAGTCAGCAGCTGCATTTTTTCTCATCACAGTTAACCAACGTATAAAATCAGAGGATCTGATTGAAGCCAGCCTGTGTGTGTCTGTGTGTAGGTTTCCATGAGCCTCGTTCCCGCTGCTCTCCAAACCCTTGCTACAAAGGCGTAACCTGCATGGAGAGTCTGCACTATCCTGGATACACCTGTGGACCCTGCCCACCTGGAACCACCGGCAACGGGACGCACTGCATGGATGTGGACGAGGTGACAACACAACTAAACCACGGTGCTACAACATACAGTAGGGGTGCGCGATATGACAATATTAGATTGTGAACAATTAGAACATGTAGATGATCTACCAAAGTGAGGAGATCATATGGATCGTTTAGGTCACATTCTATAAATTGCAGTTCTATGCTGATGCACCGACGCACCAGACGTATTACGTCGTCAACCAATCATAGCGAATTACGGGCAGGGACGCATTTTCTTACCTGCCTCGTTGTTTGTGTGTTTAGTGATAGTTGCATGGAGAGCCATGGCTGAAAGCCAAATGGGGGGGTGATCGCTAAAAAAAACCTCCACTTTCATTAGATGGAACTGTTTTGGCTTTTCCCTAAATTGTCTATCCCAGAAGTTCATTCTGCAAAACTTTCAGCCGGGAGACTTTGCTGAACATCAGGGCAATGAAAGTGGCTAAAATTGTGAGGCTCAGTTGTGATTTGGACATACTACACCAACACGGAGTCCGATCAGAGACTACACTGGCAGTTACACAAGAGAGAAGGAAGCGCAAACGGTACAAACGTAAACAAAGGAGGAGGAAGAGAGCCGGGATCTATGCTAGGCTAAAGGCTAACCCCTCCAGAACAGCAGGACCATCACTCCTACTCTCCAATGTCCGCTCCCTCCACAACAAGCTGGACGAGCTACATTTGCTGGAAGAAACCCGCAGAGAGTGGAGGGACTGCTGTGTGTTTGCTATAACAGAAACATGGCTCCATGACAACATCCCAGATAGACATACAGCTGGAGAGGACGACATTTTTCCGGGCGGACAGACAGACAGCTAGCTCCGGGCAGCATCTGCAGCTTCATCATCGTCACACCACCGTGTGGGTCTTTGTGTCCCTGAAGACGTACCGGACTTGAAGAGGGTCGCTGTGTTTAACGTGATGGCGGCACACATGGACGCAGTGACCCTTTCAGGAGACAGTGAGAGTGAACGTTAAGTGTCTTGCCTATTCCAGACGTGCATTCTGCAAAACGCTCTCTCATCTTGCCTGTACTACTATGTATGTACAGCAAAATGACAATAAACTTGATTTGATTTGATTTGAAATGACAAAGCGCAAACAAAGGTAATTTGCAAAGTTTGCACAGAGATGGATGGCAACATGACAAACTTGTTCAATCACTTTACATGTTGGCACTGACCAGAAACTTGTAAATTAGTCTCAAAAATACATGTAAGATCGTGACAAAATCGAAATTGTTATTTTATGATTACAAAAATTTTGATATGATATTTTTGCCATATCGCCCACCCCTAACATGCAGCAACATTACAGCGTAAAACCACAACACACAACAATACCACAGCAACTTTATAATGCAACACTAGAACATACACAACACACAACAACACTACAAAATACAGCAACACTTACAACAATACAATGTACAACAGTACAATGTACAGCATCACCTCAATTAAAAAGGAACAGCACCACAAAATACAGCAACAACATTACAACATATAGCAACACCACAGTGTACAGCAACAGTACAACATACAACAACACTACAACATACACTAGCACTACAAAATACAGCAACACTACAACAACTCTACAACGTAAAGCAACATTACAATAAAAACACTACAGTATACTGGAACATACGGCAACATTACAACATACAGCAATACGACACCAAGACTACAACAT